TGGGATGGGTGTATCAGAGGCAATGAGATTGGCACAGGATAGAGCAGGGTTTAGGGCTGTTGTACATAGGGTTGCTATGAGTCGCAAATGACTCGACGGCACATAACAACAACAACATTGGTTTGTTCACAAAGTTCATATACACTGTGGTTTACATTATTATACTTGCTGTCACAATGTCAAGCCCTCTCTTTGAAGATCCTCCTTTCCTTCTCGGACCTTTCTAAGCCTGCTGTCCCCTTCCAGGGACTTGATTGTTCCTCCTGATGACATGTCCAGGGTGTGTTATCCTTGCCTCTGAGGAGCGCCCAGGTTGCACTCCCTCAGCATTCTCTATCAGTCTGAACTCACGGCCATCGGGTCAACCGATCCTCCAGTGGGTTTCTTGGACTGTAAACTGCATGAGAGACTTCCCATCCTCCCCCCAAGGAGTCACTAGTGGATTTGAACCTACAGAGAGGCCTGGCCTTTGGGTCAGCAGTGCAACTCCTTACAGACTACACCACCAGAGCTCCCTAGGAAGGTCCATTAGTTAGCTTCTGTTCTGTTGATGGTGCTTTGCATTCCTGGAAGGTGTAGGGCAAGGCTGGAAGCCCGTGGGTGCTCCCTACTGTTTACCCAGTGCCTGGTCCTCTCCACAGCATGGCAGTTTGCTTTTTCTTGTCTCTCTTAAGCACTCTCTTGATTGTGTTAGACCCACTCAGGAGAAAAAGATCCTTTTTTATTAGCTCAACATCAGCTGAGTAGGAACCTCAAAATCCTTTTGCCATATGTACAGATCTCACATACATCAAGGAGAGGATATGGACAATGTTGTTGTTGATTGCCGTCGATTCGAGCACGACTCATAGTGACCCTATGAACAAAAGACCTGAAGCCTTTCTATAACTATCATCATTTCTCAAAGTTTATAGGGTTTCCAGAGGCATGTGGCTTAGGAAGTGGATGCCACTCCTGCTTCCAACATGTCTTACTCTGGGAGCTCCACCTAATACTGTCCACCATGGGTAACCATTATGGCAATCGACACCCCAGTGGCACAGTGTTCAGCATCATAGCCACTCCAGGTTCCCTCAGCACAGTAAATTGACAGACCAGTGCTGCACCACTGAGAATGCTCCTCTAAATTATAATTTCACTACTTCCGAGAGCTTAACCGACTTTTAAATACAAAGGCCCTTCAGGAGGCCGTGTTGACTCCAAACAAGTGGCTTAAATAAAAAACCACCAAACATTCCACACGACCCTCAACCAAAACAAGAGAGCCCACCAAATGCTGGTCAACTATAAACCAGAGACTCTCAGGCCATAGGCTCATTGTTAGGTAACTCTGGCAAGTCCCAAGTCTATGAACATAGAGAAATGATGATAGTTATAGAACAGGGTTCAGGGCTTTTTTTCATCGAGTCACTATGAGTCTCTATGACAAAAAGAACAGATGAAAGGGAGGAGATGTGGCAGCAGTTATACTCTGAAAGGTGGTGCAAAATAGGAGATGGGGATTGGGGGGCTATCTTAGAACCTCCCTATAGGATCCACATGAGCAAAGGAGAAATCTCCTTACTTGTCCCCATGCCATTTTTCTGAGAACAGAAGCTTGGCTTGCTAGCACTCAGGGCCCAGTTGCGGCTCCACCACAGTAGAATTCTTTAAAAGGAGGCAGACTGAACTGCCTGAGGACACAGGCGGCCTTGCAACGGCAGCTTAGGAATGAGGGGCTTCAAATTTGGTTGAACTGGTTTCCAGAAAAGGAATCCTTTTCCTTTGAGGAAGGAAAATGGAGTGCTTTTCCATGGAAGAGTCACATTCATGCCGGTTTCTCTCCAAGAGACACGTACTAGTTAGTGCTCTGTAACCAAAGGAGCAAAAGAGTTGAGCGTTTTCCTTCCCTTCTCTAAGAGATAAACATTCTCTTGGCAACTGATGAGTGAAACATTCTCCTGCTAATGTGTGGCAGAAATCTGTTAGAGCTGCTAGGCAGATCAAGTAAAACATTTTGGATGGGAAGAGGTGGTGATTTCTCCTCCTGAAGGCTGTCATCGGGAAAGGCTGTCCCAGGCACTAAGACTTGGCTACTCGCAGTGGAACACATGTGCTAGACTTTGCACCCAGGAACCTACACTCTTGAGCAGCCCAGAAACTCAGCATTGGATGGCCCCCTCAGCACAGCAGGAATGTGGTTAGGGCCTCAGCCAGGCAATGCTCAATATAGCAGTAATATTTAACGAGGAAAGATAATCATGCTGAACTTCTTTGCGCACTTATTTCATGTTAGGCTGATTTTGTCTTTAATTAGGAACTGCCTATGACGGAAAAGCAGAGATGGAGGATTAGGGGCTGTAGTCGTAAAGTGCTTGGGAGTCTCTCAAGTCTTAGTCCACCCCTCCTCCAAGTCAAGGGGTGTCAGCTAGACACCAGCGCTCCCAGTCTGTGGTTTCCAGGCACAGTCACAGCCAAGTCTGTTCTTACAGAACCAGAGAGCAGCCTTCCCTAAAGGCAGGAATTCGTGTTTTTCCCTGTGCCGTTTGGCCGCACCTGACACTTGTGCCTGGGTCAGAAGTGCTATTCTTATGAAAGTGGACCATTTCGTCAATGTAGATGGCCATCAGGCCTTGCTTGCCCCCAGCCCCCACCATGTTTCTCATCTCCTGTCGGTCTCACAAACTCCCAAGGAATCAGCAGATCGCATTTTATGTTTCTCAAACTAGTCTGATGGTAAGACTCACCTAGGGGTCACTCGTCAAGGATACATCCCGCCAAATCTCTCTGCTGGAAATTCTGACTCGGGAAGTCTCATTGGAACCCAGGAATGCATTTTGGACTAGCGTTTGTGATGAGTTTTTCTTCTTCAGATTGATAGGGAGATAATGAGCAGGAAGTCAGCTCTTCTATTTGACCTGGTTTTTGAAAGTCATCAAGAGTTAACACAATGCACAGGAGTGAAACACAATGTATAGTAATGATTGTATGCAAACCAATAAAGAATAGCTTAAAAAGAGTTTCTGGAAAGGATAGGCCTGGGTAAGCGCCACTCAGAACCCATTCTATTCTGGGCCGGCCTTTCCACCAGGCTAGCTTGCTGCCCCGTCTCTAAACTGTCATCAGTAGGTGAATTCATGGCCACCTCTGCCCTAATTGGGCAGGAGTTGACCTCTGCATCCAGGGAAAACCTGACTTATTCAGTGCCAGTCACTGAACCAGAATATTCATCTGAGAGAGCTAAACAAAGTCTGTGTTATCGGAACCACCTCCCACCCTCTACTTTCGGAACCACCTCCCACCCTCTACTTTCACTCAAGAGAAAGGAAAAAAAAAAATCTCATCCTGACTGGACCCTTGCCGTCTGAGGTCTGAAGAAGTTGCCTTCTCTGTCAGCCATTCTTCCAAGATTTCCCAAGGCTCAGTGACCCCTGACTGATCAAGCACTTATGATTTCCAAGGAGAGGCTTGAGCTTACAGAGTAGTTCAAGAAAGATAAACGGTTGCCTTTATTTCCTGATTCTTAGACTCCTCCCATAGACATATTCTCCCCTACTCAAGGAGATAGTCCCCGAGTTTGAATTCTTCCTGGAAATTAAACCTTCAGGAAGAATTACACCAAGTCAGAGAGAAGAATCTGCCCTGGAGCTGAAGGTGGGAGACTATAACAGACCTGAGTGGGACAAAGGGCTAAGCGCATGGGATTGTTATGAGTTGGAGTGAACTCAGTGGTAACTACTAACAACAACACGGGGAGGGGTTAGAGCTCTGCGTCCACTGGCCTGATTTGAGGCTCTAAATCTATAATCACTATATGTGTATTTGTTTCCTGTAAGAAAAATAGCACAACCTTGAGACTTAAATTTCTCCTCTCCCAGTTCTGGAGTCCAGAAGACTGAAATCAGTTTCACTGGACTACAGTCAAGGTGTTGACAGAGCTGGCTTCTTCTCAGAGTCCTGCAGGAGAATTGCATCCTTGCTTTTGTCACCTTCCAGAGACTGCCTGCTGGCATCACTTGACTCGCAGCTCCTCCCTTCTTCCATCTTCAAAGCCCAGTATCTTCCATTTTTTTTCTCTCTGTCCCTCTTACCACCTTCTGTCTACCTCTGTCTCCCTCCATGCCCCGCCCCCACAGGGCCACATCAAAGCCCAAACAGAGAATCTGATACACTCGTTACTGTTGTTGTTTGAGCCCACCGAGTCAGAACCAACTTACAGTTGACCCTCAAGAGAGTTTACAGAGGCTGGAGATCACACAGGAGATTGCCCACCTTTCTCCTGCAGAGAAACTGGTAGATTTGAACCACCTGCCTTTGGGTTGATAGTGGGACACCTTACCACCACTTGCTCCCTCTGAGATAGACTCATCTCCGAATCCTTCATTTCATCACATCTTCAAGACCATATACGGCAAGATTCACAGGTTCAAGGGATTATAACAGATATTTTAGGGGGTCATTGTATAGTCAAGTACAATGAATATGACCTTTGTCTCATTGCACTGTTAATATTTATTTCTGTGTCTTCAAATTCAAGAGTGTACTGTAAGAGTCTGGGTACCTAATATTAACGGTATGGTTAGTGTGCAGGAATGGATAGACGGTGGGGGGAGAACTGTCAATCCCGAGTCCTCAGCCTGAAGATAGCCCTTTGGACTTAGCCTTCAGGCTTTTCACTGAAAGGCAGGACCCCTCATCAAGCATGGCTTGCTAGGGCCTTCCCTAGGTTGATGAGCCCCCAGAGAGGGTGAGTGTGAAGGCAGAGGAAGATAGTGGTAGAGGGCTGGTATCCTAAGGTCTCCTATCCTTTGGCTCCAGACAGAAATTGATGAAATTGACATTGTAAATTTCAATCCTTCCCCTATCCCTTCCCTAGCTGGGACTTAATTCTAAATGCGAGCAAAGCAGCCTGAACTTATAGACCACTCAGAGCCCACCCTACCCGCCTCACCCCTGCCCCTTTGGAGTCCAGTGTGAAGACACTGACATCTAACCCTTCGTTTCTCTCTTCTCCCGTGCAGCTGTCTCCAACCTGGACATCGAGAGTAAGCTGAGTGTGTACTACCGAGCACCGTGGCACCAGCAGAGAAACATCTTTCTCCCGGCCACCAGGCCGCCCTGCGTGGAGGAGCTGCACCGCCATGCCCGGCAGAGCCTGCAGGCGCTGCGCAGAGGTGACTGATGCCAGGCAGGGGCAGGGTGGGCTGTGGCCGAGGCTGGGGAGAGAGCTCACAGGTGGTATCCACCACTCATCACTCCCGACACCCCAGATGATATAGCGAGGCCTTTGACGTGCTCGCTTTTCTACCTGGGAATTAAAACCCGTGGCTGATATGATTGCTAACCGAAAGGTTGCTTTGAGCTTCCCTTGCACTCCACGTGGGTATCCTAGTGCTACTGTTCTTGTAAAGATCTGCAGTCTTGGAAACCAAACACTATAGAGCAGTTCTGCTCTGTCTGTCCTGTTTGATTTCTGTGGGTCAGAAATGAGTTGACTTGTTAGGCCTGGAAGCGTAGTCTCTAAGGAGTTGCGCTGCTCACAACAAAGACCCCTCTGGGGAAGAAAGATAGGCAGGCTATTCCTGTGTAATTCACAGCCTCCAAAACCCAATAATGGCTTGTCAGCTATGAGCTGGCACTGACTTAATGGCAGTAAGTTTGAGGGGTTTTTTAAATAGAGAAAACTGAAGATTCCCGGTGAAGCAGTGTTTAAGTATTTGGCTGCTATCTAAAAGGTTGGCAGTTCCGACTCAAGGCCACTCCGCTGGAGAAAGAGGTGGTCGTCTATTTCAGTAAATATTGCGTGTTGGAGAACCTGGGGATATTTAATTTATTAAATGGATTATTAAAAATATGTTGTTGATGATTGCTGTCGTGTCGAGCACAACTCATAGTGACCCTGTGAACAAAAGGCCTGAAGCCTTTCTGTAACTGTCAATATTTAACAAAGTTCGTAGAGTTTCCAGAGGCATGTTGTTTAAGAAGTGGATGCCACTCCTGCTTCCAAATTATTATTTTTATATTTTACATATGACATAAATATAAGGAGTTACCCTGCCAATGCAAAGACACACAGTTCAAATCCACCAGCTGCTGTGAGGGAGAAAGATGCCTGTCTACTCCCATGTGATTTACTGCCTCTGAAAACTCGCTGGCGGGTCAGCTATGGGTCAGTTCCAACTCGGCAGTATACAACAACACATTTATAGAATTTAATAGTGTAGAAAATAATATTTCCTTGACTAATAAATACGTCATTTTAGATAGCATGGTTCACAATCGGAAAAGGAGTGCGTCAGGGATGCATTCTGTCTCCTTAACTTTTCAAGCTGTATGTGCAACATTAGACCATTCGGGAAGTAGGGCTTTCTGAAGAGGAATGTGGCATCAGGATTGGATGAAGACTCTTCAACAACCTGCGTTAAGCAGATGACACAACCCTGCTTACTGAAACTGAAGAGAGCCTGAAACGCTTGCTGCAGAAGGTCAAGGACTGCAGCCTTCAATATGGATTGAAGGTCAACATCAAGAAGACAAAGATTCTCACCACTGGGCCAGTTGGCAGCATCATGATAGATGGAGAAGAGATTGAGGTTGTTAACAATTATAGCTTGCTCAGCTCCACGATCAACACTCTGGGCACCAGCAGTCAGGAAATCAAAGATGGATTGCATTGGGGAAGTCTGTTGTCAGGGACTTCTCCAAAGTGCTAAAGAGTAATAATGTCAGTCTAGGCGCACCTCATCTAGGTTATGGTCTTTACAGTTACTCGCTATGCATCAGAGAGCTGGATAATGACTAAGGATGACAGAAGAAGAATTGATGGCTTTGAGTTGTGGTGCTGGAGAAGAGTACTGAACATACCATGGACTGCTAAGAGAACAAACAAGTCTGCCGTGAAAGGGTGAAACCAAGCTGCTCCTTGGAGGCAAAGATTTTTCAAGCTCCATCTTACATACTTTGGGCACATGGCCATTAGGGGCCAGTCCTTGGAGGAGGACATCATGCTTGGAAGTTTGGAGGGACAGCATAGGAGAGGAAAACCCTGGATGAGATGGACTGACACAATAACTGGGATAAAGGGGGTAGGTGTGCCAGAGTCAGTGAGATCGGCTCAGAATAGGACAGGGTTCAGAGCTACTGCACACAGGGTTGCTATGAGTAGCAGGTGACTCAATGGCACATAACAACCAAATGGTTAATAATGAGAAATTATAAAGGATATTCTTCTATAATCGATGTCCAGGCATAACAAAACTAACAGACATAATGATGCAGTAGTCAGGAGTTTGCAGCCATTGAAATAGGTTTGGTGAAGATAATCAGAAGCCAGGCTGAATAAGCAGAAGGAAATGAAGGAGACAGGGGACAGGAGGACACAGCCTTAACAATGGATATATGTAGCATAGATTAAACATAAGTAACATTAAAAAGTTGGTTTATAATTAAAAGAGAATTAGCCTCTTCTCCATCTTCCCTGTTCCCCTGCAACCACAGCCACAAAGGTGGAGTTTCAGGGGTATGGGTTTCTTAATGCAAAATTCAAGTTGGCATTCTTTTCCAAAAGGAACCCACAGCAGATAAATTGGACTGTCCTTTCTAGAAGAAAGCACAAAAGGATCCAATTGGAAGAAATTCAAAAGAAAAGAACCTGCCGTGCAGATTCCAGCAGCCCTCACTGGTGCATTTCTTGTTGCTGTAATGGCCAAGAGGAATCAAAAGCCTGAAGTTAGAAAGGCTCAACGAGAACAGGCCATCAGGGCTGCCAAGGGAGCAAAAAAGGCTAAACAAGCAGCTCAAAAGACCGCATTGGCTGCTACTATAGCTCCCACAAAAGCAGTGCCTAAGCAAAAATTGTGAACCTGTGAAAGTGTCTGCTCCCCGATTTGGTGGAAAAAGCTAAGCTGGCAGATGAGACTTAAATAAAGATTGAGGTATTTTAAAAAAGAGAGGGAGAGTTAGCTTTGAGTCTCAATTAAGTTCTATGCTTTTCCCCCACAGGGATGTTTGATGGGACATTTGACTATTATGTGTGACTTGAGACACTTCATTGTTTAAGAATATCCTGTACATTGCAGGATGGCTCCTATCCTTAGCTACCACCAATCATTCTAACAACCCAAACCTTCCGCTAGAGGGCTCTTCTGCTACTGCTGAGAACAAGTAATCTAGGCCTGCATCCTCCTCCTGCAGAGAATACCATGAAGGTCTGGGGAGGTTAAGAAATTTGCTCGGGAGCACCCACAGTGGTTTGGTTACCGTGCCAAGACCTAGGTACAGGCCCCCCAACTCCCAGTTCCTTCTCATTGCACAGGAGTACCATTAAAAAGAACATTACACTAGACAAGAGTGTTCCAAGAGACCGCTTTAAAATGTTAAAATGCAAAGATGTCATTTGGAGGGCTGAGGTGTGCCTGACCCAAGCCGTGGTTGTTTCAGTCACCTCAAAACCTGGACCGTGAATAAGCAAGAATGATTGGTGCTTTGAATAATGATGTTGGTAAAGAATACTGGGTGTCTCACAGACTGAATAAACAAAGAATGAGCGCATTTGCCTTTGAAGAGTACAGCCAGACTCCTTAGAAGTGAGGGCAGTGAGACTTGACTTCCTGTTCCTTGCACATGTTCTCAGAAGGGGCCAGGCCGTGGGGAAGGACCCCTTGCTCGGGAAAGTAGAGGGTCAGCAAGAAAATAAGGTAACGGGCAGTGAGATATTCTGACTGAGATAAACTGACTGCAGCTATTCGTCTTTGTCTCTGTAACTGCTGTCAAGTCAGAACCAACTCACAGCTGACCCTCCATTGGGTTTCTAAGGCTATATACATCACAAGGGAGGAGACTGCCCATCTTTCTGCCACCGAGCCATTGGTGGGTACGAACTGCCAGAGAGGCAGGACCTTTGAGTGAGCCGCACAACTCCATACAGACTACAGCACCGGAGGGCCCTTGAACTTCGATGCTGCAGGGCCCCTTAGAGTTTTGCTCTGCTGTACAGTGTTGCTTTGAGAAGACTCACGGGCACCTAACAACAACAACGTAATTTCTTTTACGGTACCAAGAAAGCCCCCCAAAATAGGTGAGAGATACTGACTTTTCTTCAGCTGGTTGCTTTGCAGTGCCTTGGCACCATTCTAATTGGGACGAGGGTGTTAAAAATTAGCATCAGCTTTTTTCGAGCCACCTGCATTGGATATCAGAACTGCCAGTTTTATTGGCTTCGGAATCTTTGCTATGGAAACAGATAATTCCTATATATTCAATTTCTGTGTTCCAAAATTCCATGTCCCTTTCAGACATATTTTGCAAAAGTATTAAAATTTAAATTATTTCAGTGTCATTATTAAGATAGGAAAACAAAATGATAAGTGGTGTTTTCATTTTCTTTTCTCCTACATATGTATGATTTCTGTCTTTCTCCCTACGACTAGTCTATTTCCTTTTTTATTGAAAACTCCAATCTAGTAAGATCGCTTAAGCGACAGTTTCTAAAATGGTTCCCTTGGTTATTAATGACAGACACTGTGATACTGTGAAAATGAAAAGTTCTGATCAATATCCCTTAGAAATATTTGTAGTGATACCTATTAAATCCAGGACACAACCTGTTGCCATTGCAGCTCCCAGAGACCCTGCAGGGGAGAACAGAACTGCCCCATAGAGTTTTCAAAGGGGTACTCTTTACATATCTCTCTTCTGCAAAGCAGCTGGTGAATTCGAGCCACCAACCATTTTAAGCCAAGCCCTTAACCAGTGCTTCCTGATACACTTACTACTCTTTTCAACTGTACAGTCGATGACAAAGTTCTTTAACAAACCTCTTTCCAGAAATACTCTTTTTTTTTAGAGATAAAAAAAATGTATTTATCTATCTTTATAAGACAGTACTAAATATCAAAGAAAGGGGAGGGAAGTGCTGGCTATGTTTTTCTGTACATTCTATTTAAACCACAATCCTGACTCCACCTTTCTAATGACAGTCGCCCAGGAGGAAGGGAAATCTGTTCCTGGGGAGGAACTGGGACCCACACTTCCATCTTGGGACAAGTGTCCTTGGACACAGCAAGCATCTCTTCCTCATCTCTCTCCTCTGCCGCTTCTGTTGTCACCTGAAGCCTATCTGAATCAGAAGAACAAATATGAAAGCTAGCTTGAGCATGCGAACCACAGTTAGGTT